TATTTTTACTGAATAATCAAATTTCATGGAACGAAATGTCGTAAAATACATTTTCAAAATTTCATACCAAACGTGTTTTCTAGTTTTGTGTTTTGAGAAATAATTTTTTAAAATAACCAACCAAATGCTTTTTTAGCAATTTCAAAAAAGAAAATTAAAAATGAACTGAAAACAGAAATACAAACCAAACGAGCTCTAAGTGTCTAATCTAGTTCTTAGTTGACTCGAATTTAATCAATAACACAAATAAGATGAGATTGATGATTTATACTAACAACACGAAATTATAACTAATGTAATTATCTAACTAAATTAACTACTTGGGAAGCACTTATGAGTATTCAAGTAATAAACGAAGCACCTGGACCTCGAATATTCGTATATATCATTCCAATAATTTGATAGCGTTTATTTGGAGTACTTGAATATGGACGTTTCTATTTTATTTTGATAATCTCTTCCAAATAAAATTCAATATATCCTCACATATGATCTGAAATATCTCCAACCCGAATGTGAACATATGAAGATGTATTAAATCACAAAAATATTCAATTGGGTCATGCAAAGCATAAATAATTATTCTTAAAGTCTATAAAGCCTTACAATAATTGTTACCGAGTAATGAAGGTTTTGTTTTAGTCAAGTCAAGTTGAGTTGAATCGACTCGTGCTATCAGCTAACTTGAGTTAAAGAGTCTTTATCTCCTGGGTTCAAATGAAGTAAGTCCAGTAGAGTACTTGGTTTAATACCTTTATAAAGCCGGCCAGTTGGGTAATTCTTTAAGTTTGTTTGGTGTAGTGGTTCAAGGTTGGTCCATTCTTTGCCACAGTTTGTCCAAGTTTTCTTGATCATTAATAATAATTGAAATGCCTTATATTATAGATAAATGAATCTGATATTCATTCTGATCATTTTTATAAATATTTTCACGCTTTTAATTAATTTAATATGATGGGTGCTATTTGTGATAAAAGAATCAAATGGTGCTATGTCAACGGTATCGATTAGTAGCCAATGTAAAAAGACTGTAATCAACCTTAGGGTGCGTTTGATTGCAAGGGTGGAAAATGAGTGGAAAGAAAATGTTTTACAGGGAAAAGATTTTCTTAGAAAATATTTTGTAGGGAAAATGATTTCAAGTGTGTTTGATTTGTATAATTTTCCACCT